TCGACTGTGTATCGAGACCGAGATATCGCGGATCTACCGCTCGACGAGATTCTATCTTCGTGGTCGCCGCGGCGAGGCGATTCTCGGCGCTTGGTGGTCTTCTTTCGCGTGTGATTGTCTGTGATTCTGTCGTTGTGCATTTGTGAACTGTTTGCTCCTTGGCGAGAATACCAATTTCACCGTGACGCCTTTTATTCGGAGAATCGGCGACACGGTCTTTTGCGTTTAATTCGTGAGGTCGAGTCGTATTTGTGAGTGTGTATGCACTGGGAGTATACACCAGCGCATCCGGGCTATGGCATTTTTTAGATTATTTAAACATTTAGCAAATTTACATGAAAGAGATTAAGATTATGGTTTCGGGCTAGTTTTGCAGAACGCGCGCTTCCCTCGGCTCCTAGATTTTCTTCGTAGGTTTCTCTCCTGTCGCTTCTTGCTCGTCGCGAATCGACTTTCTTCATTCTTCGTGTCGTTCGGACGTTTCCGTTTCTTCTCGAGTCGATCGCTAGAAAATCGTCGTAGCGAATTACCACCCGCTACCGGGGACAGGTTCTACTCGTTGGTCGCTTGAAAATCCGTCGAAGGTAGACGCCTCTGCGCCACCGGCCCGCTTACGAGTTACGGGCATATGTAAATCAATATATTTGTAAATTATTTTTTTGTGCTTTTTTTCTGCCGGCACGCCTGCGACGGCGAGCACGCCATTTTTTTTTTTAATTCGTTATCTTCGCTTATCATTCTTCGATTACAGAACATACACTACTAGAGCTATTGTAACTTGCTGTGTGTTTCGTTTAATTTTTAATAATTATGGTACACGTTCGCGGGGCATGGGCCGGCGCCTCGGGAATATGATTCCTTCGTATCGCGCGGGGATGTTTATGCGGGGGAGTTGTGTCGGCTGCCCCGTTCTTCTACCGATTCTGAACCGTTTTTACCTTTCTTCTTGCTCTCTTCGTTCGTACCGAATAAAAAAGCAACCCTCGGCGCACGGCAGGATGCACCGGTGAAAAGCTGTCGTCTCGGAATCGTTTCATGACCGTCGCGTTGCACGCAGTTTTCATCACCGTCATGAAGGATCTCGACGTTGTGCTGGTAGTGGTTTGTGTTTATTGTATAATTGTTGTTGTTGTTAATTTTTTGAGTTTATATTTTTTTGCTTACTTTAGCGAATAATGGCGATAAGTGACGGTGAAAAGTGGTGATGCTGTTGCTTTTTTAAATCTCTTGGTATCATTTCCTCCGCTCCTACTATCGTGCACCATTGTTATATTTTTTTGCGTATCGATTTTTTTTCTTGCTCGATTGTTCGTTTTGTCGAGGGACCGTAGAAAAATCTTTTGTCCGTTCGTTTGTTTTGGAAAGATGACTCGTCGGCGTGATTTCCAGCGTTTCTTCACCCATCTTCTCAAGGTTTTCTTTAATTTTATTCTTTGGTTTTCGATTGCATTTTTGTTCCTTTTATCACCTAATTTTTTTCTTTTTACACCTAATTTGCTCTAGCTCTCCTCCTGGTCTCGAAGCACCGTAATTTCGACTCGAGAATTTCTGTCGATGTTGTACTCGGCACCTTTGCCGAAACAAACGAATCGTGTTCGCGCCGGAAACGTTGATTATCTCCAGAAGAAACCGTTGTCGCGTTCTCCTACGTATACCTCCTGAAAAATCTCGGGAAATGTTCGCCAAACGTTTGGTCCCTGTCTTAATTTGGAGGCTAGTCGGTGCCGGTGGTGCGAGTGTGTGAAGAATTTGTGTTTTTAGGCTTACTTATCTATCCTATCGTAGCTGTACAATCCATCGCAATGCTGTGTAGGTGTGTGTGTGTTTGTGAGAGTGTCCGTGTAGAGTGTGTATAGGTGTGTACCGGTGTCGAGAAAAAAAAATTTCCCGATCGGCGACGCGCCCGTTTCGATAAAGGCCCGCGCGATATCGCGAAAGCTATCATCGAAGGATCAGGCGTGCACCGACGACGAACAGAAGCATTGATTCGATAAAAACGATTATCGTTGGTTGCGTGAACGAGGTGTATGCACTCGTCCAGCTTTAGGTATTTACATAGAAACTAACCCTATTTCGCATTATGTACTTGATTTAAGTTTACCAGTAAATTCTCAGTTTATGCTTGTGATATCAAGGTGTATTTACATACTACTTAATCCGAGGAAAAAACGCCCTGTAACGCAAGAAATGTTATAATAAGAACGACCAATGATCGACCCGCGTAGCCTGCAACTCGAGTATCTATGAAATTTTCGAACACGTTCCAAATGATTTTCGAAGAATTTGAAGGATTTTGTTTGAAGGTTCGAGTCCCAGTCGCCAGGCGAGTGCGATCGTTAAATGTAGCTTTGACGATGAATCTTTTTAGCAATCTTTTCTTCTCTCGTCCCAGATGGTGAAAAAAGCCTGGCTATCCGGCGGCTTTTCGGCGCGTGTCTCTTATTACGTTCAACGAAGATGACGACGTTAGGCTACTTTCGTAAGTGGCGAACAAAGGGGTTGAAAAGAGGCATCCCCTGAAGAGGAACGGAGAAACGAGGGTACAATTTGGAATCTTTTCTAAACGATATTGCCTCTTAATTTTGCTCCGTTTTTTTTCCGATACGAACGTTTTGTTACCTCGGGACAGAATGGAAAATCGAAAGGAAACAACATGGAAGATGGGGGTGGGTGGAACGTAAGAGAGAAATTCGTAACTGGTCCCGAAACGAAAAGTCGAGTATCTCCAAAGGGAACAACAACAACAACAACAACAACGCGGTCGACGTACGATTGTCGGGGGGAAGAAAAAATTCGGCACGCTACTCTTCAGTCCGCGATTGCCAGTCGAAGAAACGAAGAAATCGAACGCGTCGTAGGTAATTGGTCTCGCGAAACGACTTTTTTATTTCGTTGAAGTTTGGATAAATTTTTGATTCGGACCGCCAGCTTCTTTGTCGATTCGCGTTCTTTTAACCGCGGTTCCAATGGTCAACGTTTCGTTTCATGTGGTCCAGGAAAGAAACCCCATCACGGACAGTCGACGAGTTTTATAAAAGGTCGGAAAAAGGGGAATCGGGATTGATGGGGTATCGCATAGTGTATGGTATTGAAGGATTAAGGGGCTGGCCCGAGTTTTGTAAAGTTCGCTCCACGGTGAAACCTACGGACTTTCTTTTTCTTCTCCTCTCCCTCGTCATCCTCATCTTCGTATTTTAAATCGATCCACCTCTCTGTTCTGTTTCTCCTTCTTCGTCTTCTTCTACTTGTTATTTTTCTTCTTCTTCTTCTTTCTAAGTATTGCGAGAACGTAACGGTATATTGCAAGTAAAAGTTCGAAACGACGCAAGTATTTTTACGCGTTCAGATATATACCCGGAAATAAAAAAATATTTCGCTTATAACGATCACAGGACCTCAGATTACCTGAAGCACGCCACTCTAAAATCTCTCATTCTCTCTTCGTCCTTCTCATTCTCTCTTCCTTGATGCTCACGAAGCATTCTCTTTCGCGCGGTTTCGCTTTCATTCAGCCACGTGCCCGCACACTTATGCGACGATCCCAAGGTTGTCGTTGTTCATTCACGAAATCTTGCACGCGTACTCTCTCGTTCTCTCGATCGTTCTCTCTCGTTTCCTCTCTTGTTTTCTCGTGTCTCTCTGGCATCATCTCTCTTGGTTCTCCTGTCGACGCTATTCGGGATCGCGTACCTGTGTACGGGCACGCGAAACTCATTCGCTACAATTTCTTTTTCGCCTAATTTATCCTAGTCTCATAGACCCTATATTTATTATTTATAATATTTATATATATAATATATATAATATTTAGCATTTAGTTTCTTTAATTTCTCTCTCTTTCTCTTCATCATTATTTCTTAACTTCTTTTTCTTGTTCTTCGTCATCTCTCGCGTGCTTTTTTTGTTTCACGAAAAATGCTTCGCACGCTCTAACGATTCTTTGAAAACGTGCACATGTACAACAAAGGAGGGGCTGGTTCCTAGCCACCCTCCCGTGCTCTCATTTTATTTTCATCATACACTTCAGACTCTCTGTATGTATATATATATATAATATATATATAATATAACTGTTTGTAATAATTATATTTTGTTTGTTCGCTTACGAGCTAATAGTTTTCGTGCTGTCGGTCAGCACACGTTGCGCGCATTTATATTCTTATCTCGAGTAGATTCCGTGTGTGTGAATGCGTGTATCTATATATATATGTATATATATGTACCGGTGTATGTACGTGTGCGTGTTTTGCGAGCGCGTGCTCGGTCGTGTAACTTGTCGGTGAAAACTTATGTTTCGTGTGTCTCTTTGTATAACAGGGTTTCGTGTTCTCTGTGTACATGTATCACTAACGTGGTCGATGGTCGACGACGACGACGAGTTTGTTCGTCGTCGCGCCACTCGATCGCGGATCAGACCGTCCGTTTTGCAGTTTCGTTCCGCGTTCACGCGGTAAACTGGAAGGGGATGCGGTATAATCGGCCGAACGTACGACGATTCGCCGATTCACCGGACCGCGTTCACGCACGTATCAGACGCGTATCGTTTGCCTTAAACGTTACGGGAACTAAGATTACCGGGATCCTTAAGTTGATTTTTAGGTATGTATATATGTATATATGTATATAGGTTAGTTTGTTGAGCCTTAGACCGAGCGGAGGCGATTGTCGTCCTCCGGCATCCATCGGTCTACGAGTTTTCGGCTCTTGTACTAAAAAGACCTTAGTACTCTGCGCGCTCCGACGTCCCCGCTACAGGGACGATCAGAGACGAACGCGTCAGTTAGCAGTTTCATATTATGGCACGTTTCAGGGGTGACGCTCTGGATAGCGACCGTGGCAACGAGTCCTGAGAATTCTGAAAGAGCGACTCGACGAAACGAGGGGACGTCT